TGGAGCTTTAAACTGCACCCAGAAAAGGAAAAAAACTTTCAAATGTTTGACTGCTCCATTGAATGAGTAGCTTGCCTCTAGCTTGTTTGAGATTTTTTAGATAAAAGCGATAGTCTAAACATCTTTAAATTAATCTAATCTACAAAGAGGAGGACTCGAACTTGGATGCAAAGAGGCCGTCTTACTGCTCTGACCAACTAACCTAACATGTTAAACATTTAAACCTTCACATTTGAGACTTTTTAGCATCTCATGTTTATTTAATTTCTTTGGGCCAAATTCGACAGAATGATCAGTGTTATTTTGTCGGCTCATGTAAGAGCTGAATGATCACTTGGCCAATTTTAGGCCCAAAAGGCCTGTTATTTGCCAACCTTTTAAGGAAAAGACACAAAGCAAATTGGCGGGACAATGACAAAACAGGAGTGCAAATATTTGAGCATCTAGCCGTACAAATTAAGCCAACACAATATTCGAGTAAATATCGAATCTTTGGTGGAATTATAGCAAACAAATTCTCATGTCCCAAAATCCTCCTCCACAGTAAGCAACTTTTAGGCTTTCGGCTAAAAGCAAATCCCCCAATTACTTGGTTTAGACTGTAGAGAGAGAGCTCTCTGTCTATACATAATATATTCATAAATTATGAAACTTTTTTCAAAGGGAAAATTTTCCCTCCCTCCCTCCCTCCCTCCTTTTCTTTTTTCTTTTCTGGGTTTTTGTTAAAAGTTTTAAAAATGTATATACATGTCCTCATTTCATTGTTGGTCTTTACAGAGCTGTATATAATTGACCAAAGCAGGGAAAGATAAAAAGCAAACAAGCAAAGCAGAGGGTTGGCGACCAGAATGGACACGACAAGTACGAAGAGGTCCAAAAGAAGAAAAGCTGTTGTCATCCAACACCAATACAAAAGCAAACAACCAAAACAATAACAACAACAACAAAAACAAAGTTGATCATTCAACTTCTATTGTATATATAATTTCCAACTACTTATGTGTAAAATTCTTCTGTATTTATTTTGTGTCTGCTTTCTTTCTGGTTTCTCATTTTCCTGCTCTCATTCATTTTTGTACCAAACTTTCTTTTCCAAAACGCAACGCGGCTGCAGAAGAGAATAATATATTACCATAAAAATACTAAAGAAACACACATGTAGAACAGTTTTAATATAAAGTATTGAAGAAAATAAATTGATCGGACGGATAAGATAAAGAAGGGTTGATATTCAACGGTGCTGATTCAGAAACCGCGTTGAAAAATGCATGTTAAAGTCAAATAAATTAATGTAGGTGATTAATTTAATTATATAAAAAAAATCATGTGTGAAACAAAGACTTATTTAGGACGAAGCCTACAAATACATGTCAAAGCAATTGATAGATAAGAAAACATATAAAATCTAAAATTACCCCGTAAATTTCTGACAGCTGCCCGAACTCTAGAAATTATTCATAAGAAAGGAGCAAGGGGCTGCGCGGTGAAGCTGCCCGAAATCTCCGCGGGCAGGTCCGAAGTCCGAGGCCCATTAGTCCCAGTGCCTGCCTCTACTTAGATTGCCAATGCACATCAACACATTCATTGTAGCCTAAGCCACTGCTGGTTCTCTGCTCACCACCACCATAGCCATCGCCATTGGAAGGTGGCGCTGGAGGAAGTGATCTCATGCCACCTTTCAATGCGATAAGTATAGAGTGAGTTTGGGAGATGGGTCAGGGACTGAGTTGCAGAGAGACCCCTCAAAGTGGACTCTTTGGACCTCTCAAGGATGGGGAATTGGAGCTCGTTGAGGCTATGCTGGAAGCAGACCCAAGTGTTTTTCAGCAGAGGAAAGGTCGTGCGAGGTTGTCTGCGCTGCATGTAGCTGCTGTCGAGGGTCAGATCGAGGTGGGTTTTGTTTCTTATTGATTGGTTTTTGGTGGATTCTTTCTGGGATTTAGTTTTTTTTTTCTTTCTCTTAATTAATGGTGTTGATGGGTTTAGATTATGAGATTTGTTTGTGGTGCTTGGTCTGATGATAAGTTCAGGTTCTTTCTCTGCTTTTGGATCGGTCTGTTATCAATCCGGATGTGGTAGATCGACATAAACTGGTAATGGGATTTTGTTTTTTATGCTTTTTGTCAATCAAGATCAGTTCTTTTGCATGCTTTTGAATTTCCATTTTTTTTTCTTATGTGGTTTTGAACTGTTTGTCTATGTGATCGGTTTTAGACCCCGTTGATGTTGGCTGCAATAAACGGGAGGATCGCTTGCGTCCAAAAGCTTATCCAAGCAGGAGCAAATGTATGTTCTTTTCTTTTTGTGTACAGTTTCTACTTGAACTACTAATTAGATATGCTGATCATGGGGTTTGTGTGTGTGTAATTGTTAGATATTAATGTTTGATTCCCTGAATGGAAGAACCTGCCTGCATTATGCTGCCTACTATGGTCATGCAGACTGCCTCCAAGCCATTCTTTCTGCTGCCCATTCCTCCCCTGTAGCAAGTTCTTGGTTGCTCTCTCTCTCTCTCTCTCTCTCATGATTGGTGTTTTTTTTTTGGGGTCAAAATCTCATGATTGGTGTTTAATTTACGTTGGATGGCATTGACAGGGGATTTTCAAGATTTGTGAACATAAGAGATGCAGGTGGTGCAACCCCATTGCATTTAGCAGCCCGCCAAAGTCGGCCAGAGTGCGTTCATGCTCTTTTAGACAATGGGGCTCTTGTTTGTGCTTCAACTGGTGGATATGGGTAATTATCTATAGTCGTGACCTGGTATGATAGCTCAATAGTAGTAATTTGCCAATGTGATTGATGCAACTACCATCTATATGCAGCTACCCTGGAAGCACACCGCTTCACTTAGCTGCACGTGGTGGATCTTTAGATTGTGTCCGAGAGTTACTTGCTTGGGGAGCAGATCGGCTTCAATTAGATGCATCTGGGTAACCTTCCTTAAATGGATAGTGTGAATATTTGATTCTACAATAAATTATGCATATTGACATGTTTGAAATACTATGCAGTCCATATTAGTCAAAAAAGATGAGTATCATTTGCTTGTCATGAAGTTTAACGAACCGTTGCATTTTAAAGAACAAGTAGATACCTAATTAGGAATGGCTCATTTCTTTTATTCCTAAGTCCTTATCGCTGCTAGCTATGTGCACACCAGTAAAAATGTGAGTTTACTATTAGTGTTTAGAGTTGATCCTATTTTGTAGGTTGAAATACTGCAAAATCATTGGCATCACAAAATGAATGGAGCCTCTAATTCCACAAGTCTTCCATCCTTAAGTTATAAATGCTCCGCTTTAGGTAAAAGTAGGACTCAATAGTTTGTTGGTATGTTGTCATGATATTATAAAATTGTTCTCTGCAGGAGAATACCGTACACAGTTGCTCTGAGGCGCAAGCATCGAGCTTGCGCAGCTGTGCTGAACCCTTCATCAGCGGAGCCTCTTGTTTGGCCATCACCTTTGAAGTTCATCAGTGAGCTTAATCCAGAGGCTAAAGCTTTGTTAGAAAGGGCGTTAACAGAAGCAAACATGGAGAGAGAGAAAGCTATCTTGAAGGAGGCAGTAAACTCACATCCATCTCCTTTGCATTCAGATGCTGAGACTGATGATAATGTCTCTGAGGTAAATGTGCCTTCTCTTCTTGTTTAGTTTTTCATATTTGTTGTGATTGGTCAATAGAAAGGATTTAAAATCTATTTGTTTATCTTGGAATTATTGCCAGAATTTCAGGATTGCATGTATATGACTCTTCAAAAGAACTTATGAAATTTTCCATTTTATGCCAAACACATTCGTGTGACGAATTTGTTGGTTGTGATGATCTTATGTCTTTTTCTAGTATAATATGTCTTGGGCAATGCATGTAGCTTTCTTATTCACTGGTGAATTCAATTCAAACAGGCTAGCGATGTGGATCTATGCTGCATATGCTTTGACCAGTTATGCACAATTGAGGTTGGACCGTGCGGTCATCAAATGTGCGCACATTGTACCCTTGCCCTATGCTGCCACAAGAAGCCCGATCCTTCAACTACTTGTCCTACAGTCCCAGTTTGCCCCTTTTGCCGAACCACCATTACCCAACTGGTTGTGGCCAATATTAAGGCCAATAATGATGTGGAGCTGGAAATGAGTCCATCAAAGCCGAGGAGATCAAGAAAGTCTAATGTCAGTGAAGGTAGCAGTAGCTTCAAGGGGTTGTCTCCTATGAGCTCATTTGGAAGGATGGGCGGTCGTAGCTCAGGAAAGATAGCTGCTGAAACCAATGAGGAGATCCATAAGCCTTGACAAATGAATTTGTGGACTTGTTCTCTTTGAACCAGTTGGTAGTCCAGCAGATGGAGGAGCTAAGCTGTCTAGAGTGATCCTCACTGGTATGTTTTCCGATTCATCTGGAGGGTCTTAAATGCCTAATCACGCATGAGAATATAGATGTCCTTCAGTACCCTGGATCTGAAGGTTTTGTTTCTTTGAGTCATGTTGAGTCTGTTTTTCTTTCAATTAAAGAAGCAGCAAAACATTCAAGGGTTTCTCCCCAATTATAAATATAATTATATTTTAAATAAATAAAACTTCATTTACCATCCCTTCCCCTGTCATGGAAGGAGATAGTGGGTTCTTTTGTTCTCTCACCTACCATGGTACTGTGTTTTTGGTTCTAAGCCATCTGTGCCGATGAATCAACAGAGCCCTTTTGACATCTCTCTGCATCTGCAAAGAGTTCTTATGTGAAAATAGGCGTTTCCATGGGTTTAAGCTGCAATTTCCAGGTTGCATATAGAACTTAGTTACCCCTTGGATCTCTCCTTAACCTAAGAGCATGTGAAAGTTTGAAACTGGCGGACGATTACCACAAATGTGGAATTGTGCAGCATTTAGTAATTAAGAATGATTTGGTCGACAACCCTTTGTTAAAGAATAATTTGAGATTTTAATAATATAGTTGACCTCAAAAGACTATATTAACTGACATGACTTAAAACTCCAAAGGCAAAGTTGTATAAAAAACCTCCTTCCCTTAGGCTCCATTAATGAGTTACATACCACTAGCCTGACACTCTTCTCTTGAAACAATTTGCAAGCTGAATTTTTAATATTATGAACAATAAATCCAGAGCTCACTAAATATAAATTCCAATGAGGGGTCAATCATTTCACGAGTTGTCCACACAAACATGAAGACACTAATGGAGTTCCAAATCCATTGCCATATTCTAATAGCTCCCTGTTGGATCTTGCTCCACCATCTGCTCTCTCTGAAGAACTTGGCTGTCCAGCTGCTACTAGGCTGTCTACGAATAGCCTGTTGGGGTCCGAAACCGGCACAGCCGGTGAGAAATTGTCAGTCCCGTATTCATTTGGTCCACCGTGATTTCTTCTGTTAATGTTGTTATTACTTGCTCTCCTTTCTGCTTCAAGAAAGTGACCTAAGGATGGAGTGTTATTACTCTCATTCACAGAGTCGCTGGTTAGCTTGGAGCAGAGTGAAAACAACCAAGTTTTGGATTTGTGGTTCTTTTTGCCTTTGAAGGTTTCAACTGCCCCTCTCCTTGTTGATCTTCGTGAGAGGCCTATAATGCCAGAAACACCAATGAGGCGCCCTAGAGTGATGCTCTTGTCATGGAAGAAAGACCCAGTTGACTGAAACAAGTTTCATGAAAGAATCACTAAGATCAGAACTTTCTTGATTTACATGAAAGACTAGATTTGAACACAAAATCTATGATGATATATGCGGATTACCAAGGGGTTTAAGGGCATATATATATATATATATATCAATGGAAGGTAGGCTGGTGTGATTCCATTTCTAAAATTAACAGATTGAAAACAAAGACATCTTTCATGAAAAAGAAGAAACAGAGACGTCAGAGAAATCATGGAGGATGATGATGACCCAACAAGCATGGTGGTGTATGGAATGGAAGTAGAATATAGAGTGGCATGATGATGATGGGTTTCTTTTTATATATGAAAATATATTTGGCAATGCCATTCCAATGTTTTTAATACAGAAAAATACTGACCTCTGTATCAAGATCTAAGGAAGAAGAAGAAGAAGAAGCGGCAATGGAAAAGGTGGGAGAGCCACTGACCAAAGTGCTGAATGAAACCGACCCAGCAGAGAAATCCCGGCTTCTGATCAACCCAACTCTTGCATTCAGTGGTCGCAATCCCAAAGGCCACCCTTCATCCTACATTCAAAACCACACAAATGGGCATTTTCCACTTCACTCAAAACAGAGCTTCACACTTTATTCTCCATCCAAATGAATGGCTTTCTGAGATTAAAAGCCAAAAACAGAATAAGAAAAGAGAGAAGAGAAGGGTACCTGATGAACCATTATTGTCTTCCACCCTAGTATCTGGGAAGCTGGGTGGTTGTCACTTCACAGAAACAAAACAACGGTCATTTCCATTCCATCAACATGCTCTGTTCTAACTTCTAATTTCTGAAAATAAAGAGACGATGAATTGATTGAGAATTTAATTAAACAAGACAAGAAAACAAATCACAACGTGACAGTTTGACACACATATTGAGAATCTGAGACGGAGATGGAGACGGAGTGTGAAAGTGACGTCTTACCGTTTGGTGAAAGCATACACTGGTTTTTGGCAGACACAAAAGAAGAAGTGGGGGAGAGAGAGAACAATTTTTGTACGAGAGTCACAGAAAAGGGAACAAAACCACAACACCAAGGGACAGATTAAAAAGAAGACCTCTTTTTTTCTTTTTTTTTTCTTTTTCCAAATGACCATTTTAGCCTCCATCTTTAAGTGTTTCGTTGCTTCCCATTTCATGGCTCTCTTGTTAAGACAGTCTGCTAAAAAATTGTCTTCTTTTCATATAGATATTTCTGTTACACATGCATCACAAGCATCATGTTGATTTTTAAGATAATTTAGGAGCGTAAAGCTTTTTGCACATCTAAACCATAAAGGTAACGCTTGGAATTGATTCATATTAAAGAATTTACATTGATCATAAGTATTTTTTTATTTAAAAAAAAAACTAAATACAATGTATTTGAAATGGCTATATGCAATGTAGTATTATGTATTTATTTTTCTATTGAGTAAATCAACGGATTTGGATTGTTAGCAAGTTTAGCTAAATAGGAGATTTCAAATCCAAAAGATTTTGGGTAATGTGTATAGTTTTTGCTTTTTATGGGAGCCAATGTTTTGTAGATTAAAATGCTTTAATCTAATCCTTAACTCTGCAGTGCTCAAGAATTAGGAAGTAATAGAAGAAATATATGCATTGTATTTAGTGTTTTTATAAGTCTTTTACCAATTTAAATTAATTTTTAAAACCAAAATCCACTCGAAATTTCTCTATCCAAATTAATGAATTTATATGTTATTATATGATCATGCTTTTTGTCACAAAAGGTAAAATCAATTGATGTGCTTTACTATTTTGAAATAAATAGATTCACTTCCTACAGATTTGAAGAAAACAAAGAAAGAAAAAAGAAAAGAAAAAGGGTGTTAAGGGCGGTGGATCGATTGGCCTCACAGATTGAGTTGTTATATTAATCATGAGGAGAGAAGAAGATATCAGTGATTAAGGACTCTTTTTTGGTGCAGCATATCAACTGTTTCATCCTGTCTTTCGAGGACGCTTTTGCTTTTTGGTCCACACAAATCAGTCACAAGCTCTGTTCAGTTCAGTCCAGTCCAAGATGCTTTTTTAAAATTATTTTACGCTTCTTTTTCTCATGAAAATTATTTTTAAAAAATATAGTACGAACAGAACAACTTTTATAATTTTACAACAGCACCTTACATTCATCCTTTCGTCTGTTTTATGAATATCACAAACATCAGTGTGCAGTAAAATCTAACTACAGTTGCATGATTTGCATTGGTGCCCGCCGTGGCGGAAGATAGGACCTGAACACTGTTCTCATCCCTGGATGAGTTTCTAGTTTGAAGGACATTGTGGCCACAACAAATCTCTTAAGAAAATGCATGAACCACTTGGATTCTACTGCCTCTCTAAAGCTTAGGTTAATTGGTAAAAGACAACAAGAGCATTTTTCGATATGTAATTCCGAGAATATACCATAAAAGCACTCCGTGAATAAATTGTTGATGATGGTTAATGGTGGAATTGGCTTGCACCTGGTCGGTACTCTCCAATTCCTAGCAGGTCCTGCAAATGTGAAGGTACATTTTATTGGGAAAAAAGTAATAATGGACCATTTCTCTGATTGTTGATTAGCATAAGGAGCAAAAAGAAAAGAACATGGGTTTAAATCTATTCGGCAAGAGACCATACCCTTCCCCTATGATAATTTATTCAAATTATCAAGCTTTTTTATGTATGGGTTAGCAAACAAAGCCTGTAATGTAAGCACGTAAACAGATAGCACATGCATGATTCTGACACTTTAAACTAGATTATCTAATCCTGATGGTATGTGTCTTGAACTTTACTCCAAACCCGACAAGAAATCTGTGTGTTTGGTGATCTTCCCAATGGAAGCTCTCGTTTTTCCCTCACCATTTATCAATTCAAAACAAAAAGAACTTCATATCCTCACTCTGTGTACAATTACAACATTTGCCCTCCAGCTTCAAGAGAATATGAGAACCAATTCTATAAAAGCACAAATTAAGTCGCATACTTTAGCAAGGTTGTCAAACTCATAAAGTATACACTTGGAGACCAACCTTATGGGGTTTAGAAAAACTATTAGTTCTGTGTTCTAGACTATAAATCATGGAACTTGGGGATAAAACCAATGACAATCAACAAATTTGGGCAGTAGTTAGGTACACTTTAAAGTGATTGGGGTTGATAGCTTTTTCCATCTTGTCCTAAAGTTCACAGTGAGATCAACAAGAAAAGACAAAGAATGGAACTGGAGCTGCTAACATAATCATTTCAATACGATAAGGATCTAAATGTGGTAAGGTGATAGAAGCTACTTCCTAGATGAGATGACCATCAAGTTAGGCTAAGCTCTACTTGAACAAAGCATACAATGTATAGCAGGGACATGTAAATGAAGCAGCCAAAATGTGACAAAGGAATATAGAGAAGAAGGAAGAGACAGTTTTACCTGGGATGCTTTGCTTTTGGCCCTGGTCTCTGCTGTGCTCGGAATATCATGATTTGGCTTATTGAATTTCTTCTCACGCCGGTCACACGCGCCCCATCCATCTGAGAACCTCCCGCCCCTAGCGACAAGGGGAAGGGGGCAAAACAGCAAAAACAGCAACCATATTCATAAGAGTGTGACATATGATTAGAAATTACATTACTATTTTCATGCTTAAGTTCCCAAAATCCAAAATTCATACTGCATATGTGCCCGAACCACAAATTCAGCGCGCAGAACATTCCGGTTCTCATCAAACTCAATGGTCTTGTCTTTGATCTCAAAGGAGAGATTGAAGTAAAATGATATCTTTCTCCAACCTATACAACACAGCACATACATGATACACACCACATGTTACTCACTCCCAGCATTCTACCTTGAAACAAAGAACATCCCCACAACCTTCTTTACCTGACTTTTTGATGAAAGGATGCCCAGAAATCATAGTGTAATCTGTTTTCTCCAAAATCTATCAATTGAGATCACACAAACATAGCAACTAATTAGGTCAACGGAACTGACTACTGATTTAATATTTCCTAAATTTCTTGACTTAATAATCATATAACAAATTAACAAACTTTAAGAAAGTAAATTCAATTGAATTGAAAACTCAATCATATAAGAACGCTTACCGCCATTGCCGCATTCTGATACTCCTTGAACAAAGAAACTGAAGGAAACCTCCCGGTCAAGCTATGCACAGAGCCAGAGCTATTATCCCTCTCATCTCTCTGGGCATAGCTCACAGGGCTAGCAAAATTCCCGATGCCAGGCGACACGTGCGTCTCCGGGGACGAGTAAAACGGCGTCGTAGGAGTGGTCGGTGTCGTTCGCTGCACATTTCGGACTACGACAAGAGGACTGGTGTCGTTTACTCCAGAAGAAGAGGTTCTGGCGATTTTCCTCGGTGGATGGAAAGCCGAGGAGTCCTCGACGACCTCGCCCTCCGTCGACGACGACTTTGGGCCTGAGTCGTCGGAGAAGGGGAGCCTCGGGGTCTTGAAGAGCTTCGGTGGAGGCGAAGGGTAATTTGGATATTTGATTGCGAGGGGCTTGCGGGATTGGGGCTTGTACTTGGAGGAGGAGTGTGAGGCGGCGGCGGAGTCGATGACGGCCCACAAAGCGGCGTCGTCTAGGTCCTTGTCGTCGACGATGGGGTAGAGGTTGGGCGAGGCCATGGGAGAGTGGAGGACCTTGGATTTTTGATCTGGCGCGCGAGTACCGAGAATTCAATTTTGGGGAGGAAGACAAAGGCTGGGTTAAGGCCCAACTGCATGGGCCAATTAATACCACGGTCCACTGCTTTATAGGACAACAACTTTGTGGACGGGCCCGCCTCTCATAGAGAAATGTGTGGGACCATTGTTGTTTTTGGACCCCACACCACAATTTTCTTTTTCTTCTAGTGATGGACCTTATAAACCCACAACCCAAAAAAAAATAAAAAATAAAAATCAGATCATGGTCTCTCCCACTAATAGAATTTGGATGATTTTATTCATACTTATAAAACTATTCCCACAGTCTAGGGGTGCTTGGAGTAAATTTATTTTATGAGTCTTTTAGTGAACAATTCACATAGCTCATATGCTTCTATATATGCTTTCTATTTAGTGGTGTTCAAAGTATTTTGCATTCGAGTTTGAATCTCTATGTCTGCAAACTCATTTCTCTTTCATTTCATCTCATATACCTATCATAATTCTAACTCATTATCTCATTCTCCCTCGCCACTTGAACTAATCTAAAGACTTAATTTATCATGCTTTCTTTAACTTGACATCTTCATAAAAATATAGAATTAAAAATATGGAGGTGGATAAAAAAAGTAATTAATTCCCTTAAACAATAAAATTTTAGAGGACTAAAGGAGTACAATTTTGAATTATCATAGCCTTTCCTAATCTTCACTCAAAATATTCATTTTTAAAACGAAAGAGAAAAACAGAGTAGCCGTTTCCATTCTCTACACAAAGTACGCGTGTCATCACCTTGCATGCGATTCTCTAACAAACTATTTGAAATTTCGAACACTCCATCGTTTGCGATCCTCACCCTTTGAAACGCCGCGCGGTAATTTGCTCGAAACGGCGAAACGGAGTGCAAGATTCAACATCGCGGTCTCCAAATTCCTCCATCAGATCCAAATCTTCCTTGAGATTCACATGATCCTTGTCCGAATCGGCCAACACCTTCAATTCGTCGATCGGCCACTCAAAATCCTTCACCTCTCTCTTCTGCAACTTCGTCTCTGGAACCTTCTTCGCGCGACTCAGCTTGGACGAGATCTGAGAGAGCAGGACCGAATCCAAGTAATCTTCGAGCTTCTTCGTCGTCGTTCTCAACTTGAATTGCGAAGAGTCAGGGGCCTTGTGGCAGCTTTGAACATAGTCCCTGCAAGAAACTCTGGAGTCAACGATTGAAATAGAAATTACTGAAGAATTTCGAAGCGGTGTGTGCGTACGTCGATGAGAATGTTGAGGTCGGTGGAGGAGAGATGGAGGTGGAGGAAGGTCGAACGAGGCGTCTCTGAATCTCTTCAACGGTGGCCAGAGGGCTGCAAGTTGAAGTAGTTTTGGCTCTCTTCCTCTCTGCCATGTTTCGCGCGCGATTTGGAGTTCAAAGCAAGTCGAACCCCCCTCGTCTTATATAACCTCCAGCTCAACCGAGAGTCCCACATGCATGCTTGAACCCACTTTCTGGTTTAATAGAGCAGAATTGGGGCTTGACAGTTGATTAACCAAAATAATAATTAAGGGTGCCATTTGAAAATCACAGCCATTTACAAGCATTCATTATGTGGAAAAATAATAATTAAGGGTGCATATCGAACACAATTAAATGAATTGTGATTAATCTATACTTAAAGAATAATGAATTCACGGATCGAACTCGGAATGAATTTCCCACTGTAGAAAATTTAGAATAGGTAGTAATTTACAAAAAATCTGAATTTACAACGAAAATAGCATTCTCTTCTTCTCTTTTGCCTGATACAACAAAAATAATAGGCTTTTACAAGCATCCATTACATGGAAATGGATGGGGGTGTAATTTACAAAAATTTCTGATGATGAGCAGCTTTGACATTTACAACCAAAAAAAAAAACCCAGGGCTCTGACTCCTTGTAGTGTACAATCTATGTATGTATATATCCATGACAGGTGATGTTTGATTCTAAGATAAAATTTGTCTCCATGTAAAAGAGAGAATTGTGACCAACATAAAAACCAATTATTACTATTATGTCGGGCCTCCAAAGATATTGTTCTGCATCTTCCTAGGTAGCCCAAAATTTTGATATGCTCTGATCTCACCTTCTAGAGTGGCGGTGACAATGACCAAGCCCCAAGCTGTTGCTTGCGTTGTTTGGTTCGCATTGCTGTTGTTGCCAATATTGTCAAGCCATGACCAAGAGGAAGACCAAGAGGACGTGGATGCACTGCCAGCAGACATAGAAGAATCACCACCACCATACCTAATAGAGGAAGGGTCTGAATTGAATGACTCTCCGATCCCTGATTCTGTCCGGGAAATTTGAGCAGGATCTTGATCTTCGAGGGGCGGTGTTGAAGGTCTTTGATCCAATGCATCTCCCTTGTTGTTGGTGTTGTTTTTCTTAGGAAGAGGCGGCAAAAGTCTCTTGCTCAAGCCTGCTGCGTCTTCTTGAGTAGGAGATGCATTTCCTGAAGGGGGCTGTTGTTGTTGTTGTTGTTGTGTGGAGCGTTTTGACTGCCTCTTAGAATGCTGCACAGGAACTGGGGGAGGGTCGCCTTTTATGGTGCCGGGCCATGGGATTGCTACTGAGACATCTTTACACTGGAAATGTTCATGAGAATTTGAACTGATGATACTTTTTTTTCCGGCCCCCGAGGTTCGGGGCTCTTCTCGCTTCCAAACATATACCTGAGAATCTTCACTGGCGCATATGACATACTTCCCATTTGGACTGAATGAAGCTCCAATTTGGCTGCTGGTATTTCGAAAACCTGTTTGTAGTCAAATTGCATAAGCATTATTGACCAGAAGATATGTAAACAGGAAGTGAATGGTTCTGACGATTGGAGGAGATGCATACCTCTAAACTTGTGAGTCATATTTGTACCATCCACAATTCGAATCCGGGAATCGGCAGAGGTGACAAGCATTTCAGATGGATTCATTGGCGAAAACTGTTTGAATGAAAAGAAGGGCCGAGTAAGAAGCAGTTCAGATGGATTTATCATTTATGGGTCGGTGGGGGGAGCTGTTCGATTAGAGAGTGGAATGTTACATTACCTGGAAACCTGTAATTTTCTTTGCTTGATTCTTCTTCTTGTTTTGAATATCAATCTGGCTATGTTGACTTAATTTACAATCTGGAATACCAAACAAGATGAGCTTTATCATAGACTGTTTGTATGAATAATTTTAAAACTAGAGTAAGGTTTTGTGCAGGGGTTTATGACCAAAATTTTGCAATGTGTATGAAAAATAAACCAGAAGACAACTCACACCTTCTGTGCTGTACATGCGACAGTTTCCTTTGTGGGAACCAATGAGGCAAGCCTACATTTATGAAAAGGTAAAAGCAAGATCAGTCGAAATCATTATGAATATTTCTAAGTTGATTCAACTTGACAAGTGAAAGTTTTTTCTTTTCTTCTGAAAACCATAAGCATGTTCAGGAGTTTATAAAACCATAACATTCTGATAAAAGCAATATACAAAGGAGCTGTACCAGGCCATCTGGAGTGAAGGAAGAAGCAGTGACCATTTCATGAAGATCAGTCCAGTCCACAACTTGCCGAACCGGTATATTCCACAATCGAATCTTTGCATCAAGTGAGCCGCTAATAAAATAATTGTCATCCAAAGGATTGAACTGTATGCAAGTCACTGCCGGACCAGAAACCAAGTCAAAACTCAAGAACCTAATATGCACAACAGCTAAACAAACATTGGCCATTTATGCATGGATATCTTACCATAATCATTGTGGGCAAACAACTTTAAACAAGTCTTGGTCTCCAAATCCCATAACCTAACAGTTTTGTCCATTGAAGATGAAAGCAGTAGCTGCAAATTGATCAAATTATATCAGCGTGGCTCCTAGTCATACCAAATTAAATTAGCCTTAACTCCTACTTCTATCAAAACTGAATTTATCATAAGGCCAAACTAACAGACAGCTGAACTTGAGCTATAATTTAAGAAACAGAACAATTAACAGAGAACTTACCTGATTTCTGGACCATGACAAGTCCAGAACAGCATCCAAATGACCTTCAAAAGAGCAAAAAGGTTTCTCCGAAAATGAGAACACAGTTTCGGGCACATGTACATACTCCGGGATGGGATTGGTTTTTCTAGCAGAGCTTCCCTTTCCCTTCTTCTTCTTCTCATATGGCACAAGTGCAGCCTGATCAGAAATCGACGGAGATCGATCAGGAGTGGAGGAGCCAAACGAGTGATGAAGTGGGGTTGAATTTCCATCCAACGACATAATCTCACACTCCTGAACTTCCCACACATGAATAATCCGATCCTCTCCCGCGCTCGCAAGAAACCTCGCGTCCAAACTAAACTTAATAGTCCAAATTGAGCCCTCATGAGCCTGAATTTCTTGACACAAATGCAATGCCGATAGCTCCTTGTAATGCTTCCCGGTCTGCCTAACTTTTATCCACTCCGACGAAGACGACGTCGTGTTCTTCCCGGACTTGGGGTCCGGTGGTGTCAGTGGCGGCGTTGGCGTTGGCGTAGCCGCTTCCCTGTCTTTCTCCCCAATTAACACACTCACGGCGGATCCCATCCCTTTTATGCTGTTCTTCAACATCGCAACCCCTCTTCTCTTGCTCATTCTCAGGCTCTTTGAAACAAACGAATTGGCGTTACCTACCTTCCTATCTCCCCCGCCTTCGCTCGAAACGTTTTGTCTTCTCATCACCTCTTTCACCACAGGCGAGTATCCAACGCATTTCTCAAACTCGTCCATGTTCAATTGCTTCCCTGTCTGGAGATCACTGAACCGGTTCCAGCACCCGTCTTGGTCGGACTCGTTGACAATGAACTCAGTTCCTGTATCCAGATTCTTGATCAAGAAGAAAGCCCCTATCCTATTGTTCGAAAACAACGACGACAATCCGCCGCTTGTTCGAACCGGGCGGCTGGAAGCGGGGGTGGCCCCGCCGACTTCGCTCGGCGAAGCTCTCACCGATTCGGTGTACGGACATATTGTCGAGCGAGCCCCGGCTATGGTGGAGCAAGTCCTTGTGAGCCGTTGCTTCGAGATTGTTCCGATTATCTCCTCTTTCCTCTGTTTGTCCACAGAGAAAGCTTCGATGTCGCCCTCGGACCTCGATCGGACAAGCACCAGCGGCAACGTTTCAGTCTCCGGCTCCGGCTCCTGCTCCGACTCCGGCTCAGGCTCCGGCTCCGGCTGTGCTGTCGATTTTTCTACGTGTTCTTTAGAGCGAGTAAAGGACCGGGGGACGGAAACGGCGCCGTTTGGGATTTTGCTCGAAATGAGGCGCTTAATGCTGGTCAGCTGTTTGAAGCTGGTGAGGTCTTTGCCGAGTCCGTTGGCCAACCCCATGCCCTGTAACAACCGTTTCCGTCGTTCGGTGATGGAGCCCGGCGCCGCCATCCAGATATTGTAATCCGGGGACATCGGAGCCACGGACGCCGGAGTCATCTCTTCGGGCGTCTGGTATGGAGGCGTGGTGGAGGGCGGCGTGGTTTGGGGAGTGGCGAAGGGGCGAAAATCGAAGTCCCTTCGGACGGAGGAGACGCAGGAGGCGAAGGACATACGACTGTCGTCGAAGTCCTCATCTTCGGAGGAGGAAGCCTCGAGGTCGAGAGGAAAGGCGGAGGAGACGCGGTCGTTTGACTCGAAGAAGCGGTCGTCGTCTTCGTCATCCCGGAGGCCGTCCCAGTTCATCGTGAGCGTTTTCTTCCGCTCCATGGTCATGGTGCATCAGGCAAGATGAGCGAGCTTAGCTTAGCTGTTGCGTGCGTTTCAATGGAGGAAAAATGACAATGGTGGTGGCGATCGTAGAGAGAGAAGAGTTTTGGTATGTTTTGATTGTGTTTGTGTTTTTGCGCGAGAGAACGAAAGGGAGAAAGCGGAAGAGAGAAAAAGGAGGGAGAGTGTTTGGTGGTTAATTACCGTTATTGAGGAAACTAGAAATAGTCAAGAGGAAAGGAACGCTTTATTTTTATAATTAATAATTAATTAGTGGGATGCGTTATTAGTAGTAGTGCATTACATTCCTTCACGTCTTTTGATTCGTTATTAGTTTAGTATCATGATGATAATAATAATTAATAATTGGATATTATTACAATTTTCCAAATTTCCATTCCATGCATGTCGTGCGGCATCTATGGCCTCGAAGGATTTGCGTTTGCCACTCACAGACTTCTTGCCACGTCACTACTGATTTAGTTATACGGCGTCGCTTCTGAACCGCAGCTTAAGAAGCCCAAACAGACCGGGCTCCCTTGAAAATGAAGATGTAATAAGGTCCAATCTTTCCTTTTTTGGGTATCAAGGTCCTATATGTGTTGAAAAATCATCACTTTTGAATTTTCCCACCACCTATGACTCCTACTATCTTTATGTTATATGTGGTGTTTACCCTACTTGTTAATTAACATGTCACAACTTATCATCATTTGGTTAAGTGGCACGGTCGGGGTTTCATTTGAGGAGTTCCTCCGATGAACGAAAGTTGTTGAGTAAAACAAATTAGTATGTCACGTATGTAAGTGAATTACAAAGATAAATTTAAGCACTTTTGTACTAAGATGAAACCGAATTACAAGATTCATTTTAGCATTAAAAAATAATCAAAAATTTCATTTGAAGCGTAATTCCAACAATTGAATACTTATTTCACACTTCTTTTTATCAACGTTGAAGAGAGAGTATTCGAATTTAGGACATCTTCTATCATCGAAAAGAAAAATATTATTAAACTAATAAGAGCCAGCTAGTTACTTACATACTCCATTCTTAAGAGCTGGACTATCTTGTATTTGCTCATAATCTTTATATATTATACCTTAAAGATTGGTTTGAATGTTGATAATTTGATATAATTCATGTGAGTTGGGACTGATCAGGGTACGATGATTGGTGAGGATGATTAATTAGTTTCCAACGTCAAGAGATATACTTAATCACAAGATTAACAACTAATAAGGCAAGTGGTGGTGCAAACTTTTCTCTTCCTCTTTTGATTAACTTAAGCTTTGTGAATTCCCCTTTCCCCCATTTTACATGTCTAAGTAGGGCATTTTAATATTGGGATTTATAAACATTTTGTATATTTCTTATCTATGTTGAAGTATAAATTATTAAATTTTGAGTCTTTAATAGTGTAGATGATGAGATTAATATTCAACCATGTTAAAATATGAAATTCATGACAATTATGATTGTAATAAATGGATAAATTATTAATCAGTATGAAATGATATTATTAACTTATTAACTCGGATAACGCTTGAGGGCTCCTATTCGAATTATTTAAATTTTTTTTTTTAAGGGCCCCCTCTAATGTGAAATCCTGGCTCCGCCACTGATCTTTATATATTATACCTTAAAGATTGGTTTGAATGTTGATAATTTGATATAATTCATGTGAGTTGGGACTGATCAGGGTACGATGATTGGTGAGGATGATTAATTAGTTTCCAACGTCAAGAGATATACTTAATCACAAGATTAACAACTAATAAGGCAAGTGGTGGTGCAAACTGAGAGAAATCAAATCTATATATCCCGCGTGCCTTCACGGATTTAAAGTTCCCATAATTGTAGAGACTGAAGTTCAGGTTGATTGGTGCGCTACAAATCAACCAATGCTTTAAAAATGAGATTGGCAAATCGAGAGGAGTAAAAATTTCGAGGACCATACATATATACGAGAATGTTCTCTTTTTAATCTTATATTATATCCCTCTGTCTTCTTCGATTCATCCGTATCAATAATAAAATAAACCAATATATATAATGCTCGATAAATTATGAGAAGATATAAAAAGTATATTCCTTTTGAAAAAAGAGTACATATATATTTATCAACGACTCATGGCTTTTCATGAGAAAACAATAGAGTAGTAGATCCCACGTTCTTTTTTGTATTTTTTACCAAAGTTATAGGAATGGCAGGGAGTTTTTTTCGACACACACTGCTAAGGTGTCATGAAGGTTTGAACATAATATATGCAAATTAATACCGTTTTTCACTGAGCTAGATCCAATTGGCCTATTTGCTTTAGATTCATCAACTATTCATTTTGCTATTATAGTTTTTTTTTCCTTGTTTTATTTTGTATGTGAGGAAGCTCATCATGGAAATGGAGCATGTTTGCCTTTCTTGGAAAGCTAATTAGCCTGAAAATATTATACATATTTAGTTTAAGAGAGATTCTATCAACAGATGGGCAAGCAAGCTAGGGATTTGAGGCCTCCCACATATCCCTAGTCCACTTCCCCTTCTCTAAATGAAGGCATCTTTATAATTAATTAACCCTTAAGAATGTCAAAGTGAGCTTTATGCAATAAACAACTTCTAGCTCATCACATTAATTGTAAAATGATAATTTAAACCAATTAAAATACTATACCATATATTATGATAATAATAAAAAAGCGTAAGTTTATATAGTACATAAACAACTTATAACTCATCACATTGTAAAATGATAATTTAAACCAATTAAAATACTATACCATATATTATGATAATAATAAAAAAGCGTAAGTTTATATAGTATTTTTGTTTTTTAAACAAAAAGGAAAGAGAAGAGAGATGTGAGAAAAAAAAGTATATGTAGAAATTTCTACCTAATTAAAAGATGAATATATATATATGCCATATAGTCCACTCTTGGAAACTTTCTCATACTGATATCTCCCATTTTCCTCATCAAGTAATAATAAGAACCAGAAATATCTCTCCAATTAGTCCATGGTTGGCAAGTGTCACTTATTCTTTTGTTTAGTTGAAGGAAGTTTTGAATTCAAATTCTATTAACAGTTATTAACAAATAAAAGGTTCTAAATAATGACAATAATAATATTAACAAATAAAGAGAGATTTGTCAATATAATGGTGTTAAATATAAGACCACATTGGTGAACACATCACAATATATTGCTGTCTACATATAATCACCTAGCTAACAATTAAGAAAAAACCTTGTTTTATTGGGACTTTATGTCTCATAATAAATATAATATTTCTTAAAATAACCCATAAGGAAGAAAAAAAAAACATTTAAAAAATAAACCAAAATATATTAATTTATTGAAATATAATGTGGTTAACTACAGTGCAGATTGCTCCCATAAAAAAATGAAAAAGAATTATAGTGAATTTGTAATAGAACAATGAATAATAAGTGCATCCAGGTTTGATTCACGTAGGAGACAATTTTGAGAGACAATTTTGAGGAAACCCAATATAATTAAATTTTCATACCAAAAAGATATATATATAATATTGATATTGTCCTTTTTTCCCGACTCGAGCAACCACCCAAACAGTGCCATCGGAAAATCTTACAACTAGTGAAAGAAGAAAGAAAGAATCTCTTAAAAAAGAAAAGAAAATTAAAAGAATATTAAACTTTAATTTTTATTAAACGAGAATAACACCTCGAGCACAAAAGAGCATATCTATCTATCTTTCAATGCGTCTCTTTTCTTGGTCGTCTGTACTTCTTCTTTCATCTTTTTCCAACTTTACAACGTCATCTGAGCTTTAACCAAGATCTCACCCAACAACAAAATTAAAATCTTAATTATGAATTATGGATTAACTTTGTTACCATGAACATGATGATGAACAAAATTAACAATAATGATACAATTAATCGACTAATTAATCACCGGGTTTCGTCGCGATGAGCTTGTTTGGCTTTCTTGATCTTGGCGCGCAAATCCTGGAGAAGAAAATTTGACGCAAAGAATGCCTCCAGTTCTTTTGTGTCCAGATGCTCGAATTGGAATTGGATCCTTCTGCGACTGGGAGACGATGACGTCACCACCTTTCTCTTCCGCAGCGGTTTTCTTGGCGCAGGCGGGCATTTTGTCATCGGCGGGATTCTGTGCTCCAGCGACGTCGGCGTTTTGAACCCGTCGTCATCGTCGTCTACGCCAACCGACTCCGTCGTTCGGCTTTCTTTCTTTGCGGAAGTGTTAATGTGATCCGCACCGTTCTTGGGTTGTTCTTGTTGTGGGTGATCATGGAGCGCATGATCGTGATCCGAAGGCTGTTTGGGATTTTCCAACGTGGGTTTCTGGGTTTGATCATCGTGATCATGATGGAAACAAGGATCTGAATTGGAGACTTTTAAACCGGAGATCCGGTTGACCAGTTTTGACTCCATGAAAGATGATTGAGATGATGAGGATATGGAAATCAATGATGGGAAGAGATGGCTGATGATTTAGAGTGGGAATTATAGAGAATTAAAACACATATATATATAATGATCAAATTCACCTTCTTTTCCTAATCCTAATATGTTTGGGATTTCTTTGAGCTTATTTGGAGAGAAACAAAGGAAAAAGAGAGAGAGAGAGGCATTGGATCCTACACCAAGAGGGTTTCAAAGAAAGAAAGGGAAGCCTCCACTAAAACCGATAGAAACTCTCTCTCTCTCTCTCTCTCTCTAGCTGATTTGGTACAACATAACGTGTTTGTTTGAGCACACTACGCTCTTCTTTTTTCTGATCTCTTACGAACTTTTTATGCATCTACCCACGTGGCTTGTTACATGGGGACCACATATATGTAACGTCATCTATCTTCTCGTGATATTATCAAGGTGCTTTGTTTATCTAGCAAGCAAAGCACCCAAAACAAATCGTCTTTCTTGGTTTCTAAAGTTTGTTCTAGTTTTGATGTGATTTTAATAGCACGAGGCCAGCTATGAACTTCAAAGTCCTAAGACTAAAACATTCTAAGTTTAAGTTATACAAGATTTCAAGTCTAATAAATTTTGAGTTTAAGTTATACAAAGTCTAAAATATTCGAATTTAAGTTATAAAGGGTTTTCAATTTGTAAACTTAAACCTGATAGAAGCTCTATGTAGGTTTCCATCTTGATGTTCATATATCACCTTCAATGTGTGACCCCCAAAAATATGAGTT